CTCACAGACACATAACAGGTACGGCAGTCCATTCTCCCTGCAGCACAGACTACACTGTCCATGAAGCTACATTCTTTAGGGCTATGCCTGTAACAGTCTACCTATTGCCTTGATATTAAATCATTGTTGTGAATAATTTTTTTTCAATATTTCTTCACGTCATTATGCGGGCCACAAGTAGAAGTGACATGGGCCACGAGATTGAGACATAGGCATTAGAGCCTCTTAATGCGTGTTTTGTTTGGGGCGTGGAAACCAAAAATAGAGAGGGCATAGCTGAACATATGAAACAGGAAAATACCGCCGTGTAATCCCTTTATTTCAGCAAAGTAACTGTATTCTGAATACCACCTTTTTAAATGGTAACTGTAACGGAATACAGTTACTCATATTTTGTATTTTAAATACGTAACGGCAGTACATGTATTCCGTTACTCCCCAACACTGATGGTATTTAAAGGGAGGTGCGCGAAGATGAGCTTGTCCCTCCTACCTGGCTTTGCTGTTGGAGTTGCAATTTGCTTCTGCACAGAAAACTTTGGCTTGACATTTGGATGTGTGGGGACAAGAAGCAGTTGACCCAGGCTACGGTCCAGTCTGAATCTTTAGCGAAAGAATATTCTTGGGATATTGGGTACGGTTCTTCAGACATCTTTAGGAGGTTTAGTTGTCTTAAGTTGTTTACTCACAATCTTGTCTTAATTCCTGGAGTCTTGTTCTTCCTTTCTAAAGCATTCTATTTTAGCCAGGAGAATGTTAGTACATCTTATGTTGGTAATCCAAGCTCATGGCTTATATCTCATCTTCAGTGCAGAGATCGGATTTTTAAATTTATGACGTGGCTCCTGTAATTGTAGAGAAAAAATAAGCCATCAGAAAAACCATCCAGTATGGAGAAAAAACTCAACTGAAATTATTTCTTCTCAGAAGACATGTATTATTGTAACTGGATTGTACTGTACGGTATGGTACTGTAAGGCTACTGTAACAATCTTTCCCACAGAAATACATTTTACTTCTTGCTTTTCCTTTGGTGTTTTCTGACAGCAATCATTGTTCAATTAATTTGGCATTTCAGATCATCTTCTTCAAATGCACCTTTTAACAGGGGGGCTCTTTTATACCATTAATGTTTGTAATCCAGCATTATATATTATGTTAAATAGGTAACAAGTAGAGCAGGGCGATATGACCAAAAATATTTATCACGATACACATTTGAAAATTTGCGATAACGATATAACTGACGATATAATTGACACTGGACAAATACTTTACAACTCCACAACTTTATTAGTGCAAAGAAAAAAATCAATATATTTTCACTTAAACAAGCACCTGTTTATTATGTGCATTAAAGTTATATAAAAATTTAACAGTGCAAATGTAAATTCCTTGCTGACAGTTTAACTAAAAGGCATTTTTAGTGGAAAATGGCTATATCCTCCACATAACCATGTATATTTACTTTGAGTTCTGCTCGTTTACAATGCTGTGCTTTCGGCAAAGACAAAACGGCCAGGTCGCTGGACTTGCCGCTCCTGTGTCAGCGAAGGGCAGGCACACTTTGCTCCCCCTCCCCCCTCTTATGTTTTAGTGTTGCGCTGTCACGTCATGTGACACTATGGAGGTTGTTAAGTTGTTTACATATTAATTATATTTTTACCAGTTGTTTTTGTTGTTGAGAATTTTAATTGTAAATTTTGTATTATAGTTTATCAACAGTATTTGTTTTCATTTGTTTACTGGTTTGCGTGCACTTACAATTTTTCAAAAAAAAAAAAAAGATCGCCACCACGCCAGACCCGATGGCATTTTCATGCTTCGCAGCATCATTTATTCTTAAAATAATCGCACGGTTTCTGTAACAGTAAATTAAACGGCTGCAGCTCTCCCGCTGCCAGCTGTACACATCACCACCACCAAAACTGCAGCGGCATTGCAGCTTCTGCCATGTGCCTATGAAAACAAAGACACTGCGCATGCGTGTTTTACCCATATTCTATCGCGATATTTCATTTTCTTATTGTTGCCCATCGTTATACCGGTATTACCGTGAATGGTATGATATGGCCCAGCACTAATAATGAGTGTAATAATGTGAAAAACAAAGATGTATCTTGCTGTAATTTTTGATGGTGTGGATGTCCACTATCATATTCCAGAATCAGGTTCTGAAATGGAGTATGGAGACCAGGGGTTCCATTACCTGGTTGGTATTGTTAATGATAAATTGTTGGATTGGGAATTTAAAATAGGGTAATAAAGAAAGACACATTAGTTCTTATGGAGTCTTTTATTAGGTTTATTTGACATACGATTAAATTGACAGCTTGTGAAGGTGAAGAGACAGGGGGACTGGCCATCCTACCTGTGTCAGAGAAGAGCCAAAGTTAGAGCTGCTTGCAGTTAATCATTTGTCAATAACCTAAATATATGTGAAATGAGAACTTATAAAGGTACTCACCTATCCTGGTTGCTTCTAGCAGGATGTGGAGCAAAAGAGTGAAAGCGGCTCAATCACCTGTTTAAGAGCTCTTGGAGCAGACCAGTGTGCCAGGTTAGGGAGTATGGATAAAGAGGGTTTTAATTTGTATAGTAATGGGTGAAGCTTATGTTATTGGTTTGTTTATAGTATGTGTTGGAAATATGTATATGTTTGTGATGTGCTTTAATGTTATTGTATGTTTGTTTGTGTGGAGGGTTATGTTTTCATGTTGATTAGTCACCTGAAAAGGTAGAGTATAAAAGGAAGCCATTTTGTTTAGTTGTAGTTAGTGTTCTTGTGCTGTTATCATGCTTCTTCTTTAATAAAGTGCCAATCCATGGATGTCTTTTACTCCAGTCTCGCATCGTATTATTGGACGGAACCTATGACTGCTGGCCAAAACTGATAATCAGCATGAGACAAATTTATTTCCAATCATGAGCCAGAAAGTTTATTTAAAGTTTGTTTTCAGAAGTAGAAGCTAAAGGGGTGCCGCTCTTAAGGACCGACAGCTACCCTTCAGCAGATGTCCTGAAACTGGCCAGTCAAAAGTGGGCTTTTAAGGCTAGTGACATTAAAAGGAAAGAAGCTCAAGTTTCTTGCTTCAGATAGAGAATTAAATGAGAGAAATGGTCCAAGACGGGACAAATAGGACTTATTTTGGCCTGAATAAACACAGATATTAAAATCTTCCCTGTTTTCCTTTAAGATATGTTGGTATAATTGTGTTATTTTACAATGTTTTTATTTTTTACAGACACAATGTTTAAGTTTATTTATTTATGTTTGTTTGCTTTTAGATTGAGCAGCTGTAACCTCTCAGGTAGAGTCTGTGAAGATTTGTTGTCAGCTCTCAGCTCCCAGTCTAGTCTGAGAGAGATGGACCTGAGTACCAACAGCCTGAAAGATTCAGGAGTAATAAAGCTGTCTGCTGCAGTGGATAGTCAACATTCTAAACTTGAAATTCTCAGGTCAGATCAAGTGATATCCTGTTATCAACTGATACAATTAACCAGTAAAATTAATTAATAATGGTAAACTTCATCTGCTTGTTGTAGTTTCTTATTATTTTTCATTATTTATAAAATTTAAAGACAACCTGTTAAACAAAAGGCAGTAAAAATTATTTAAAATGTTGGATTAATCATTGCTAATTATTGATTTTTCATGTTTTTATTTCCAGACTGAGTGTTTGTAACCTCCCCAAGAAATGCTGTGAAGCTCTGTCTTCAGTTCTCAGCTCTCAATCTTCAAGTCTGAAAGAGCTGGACCTGACTATCAACCACCTGCAAGATTCAGGACTGCAACTTTTGTCTACTGGACTGCAAAGTCTAAATTGTAAACTGAATACGCTGAGGTCAGGTTGAGTTCAAATTATATTTGTTTGTTTAATTAACAAATCAAATATCTAGCCAATAAATGTAAAGCCCATCCATATGCTGTTTTATCAAAGTAGGGCATTAAAGAATTCTGAAAAAAAGAATATAGCTTAATCTAATAGTTCCTCACTGCACCCTGGTTACAATTTAACACCAGCATTTCTTTTATTGGTCATATTATTTTTTTCAGACTAAGTCAATGCAACTTCTCAGAGAGAAGCTGTGAAGCTCTGTGCTTGGTTCTCAGCTCCCAATCCTCTAGCCTGAGAGATCTGGACCTCAGTAACTCTGACCTGCAGGATTCAGGAGTGAAGCATTTATTTGTTGGACTGGAAAGTCCAAACTGTAAACTGGAAATTCTCAGGTCAGTTTAAAAATTTTCCATCAAAGATCATTGAACACATTATCTTTATAACTGAATCAATAGATAATCTTTATAGAAGATGGATCGTCAGCTTTGCCTTTGGATGTATTATTAACTTCTAAATTACTGTCTTATATTTTTTCATAATGGAACTTTTTCATAATCTCTTCTGCTTTTTTTGAAATTTAGTGCAGTTTTGCTTCCATAACATACCAAATTCCTAAGAAAATGTCCAAATGATATGTTCAGGTGTTGGTTACTGTCCATGTCTCTTTTTATTATTGAGACTATGTGGAGTGTAAATGAAATAAGGACCTAGTTTTAGTAAAACTAAAAGTGAGTCATTTATTTGGCTTGAAACAGGTGTGATACAGGGACCCAACTGCACACAGTGTTGCAATGCAAGCCAATGTTTTGTTCAGAGATTTTCAGTGTTCATCTTTTCAACTGTCATCTCAGCACAGCACCACACACTCTTCTTCCTCTGGAACAGCAGCAACTGAAAAGGGAAGACGTGTTTACTGTGATGGATATCCGCTGTGCCAGCCAGCGTTCCCTGGCACTGTCCCCTGAACCCGCTGTTTCACCACTCCCATGCAGCCACAGCAGGCGATTCAAAACATAAACTACAAAGAGAGAAACTGAAAACTACAAACTTATTGAAAACTGAAAACATGCTAGGCCTGAAAACACTGCCTATGGGAAACACTGGGGCAGGGAGAACAGATAATCCCACAAAGTACAGGAGGGGACTGTAACTATATATTAAAAAAAAATCCCCTTCTTGTCCCTGCAGGCCATCTATCCTTCAAGCCCAGTCCTCTACCAGAGGCCTGGGAGCTTGCGGGTTCTGCACAGTATCTTAGCTGTTCCTAGGGCTGTGTTCTTCTCGACATATATCTCCAATTTTGTTGCTGGGATCTGCACTTCCTAATGCTCCGATTACTACTGGCCTGCTAGAATATTGGACCCTTGTCTCAGGGGCATCTTTACACAGCCTGCACCTGGGATCTTGCCTAGTGTGACAGACCCCAGCCTCTATGGATCTTGTGCTCAGAGCTTGTTCCTGTGCTGCCACGATTAGTGCCTCTGTGCTGTCTTTCAGTCCAGCTTTATCCAGCCGCTGTTAGGATTTCTGGATGTCGGTCAATTCCTCTATCTGCCCGTGGTAAATACCATATCATACAGGTGCCTGTAGTTCTATGATGGTTCTCCCTCTTCCTCCTCTTTCTTGGGTTTCTGATGGCCGAGGTATTCACTGAGCATTCAGCTGGGATAATCTTCCTGATGTATTCGTGAATGGTCATTGTCTCATCCTGGATGGTAATACTGACACTCACCAATCCCCAACCTCTTTCCTTTTGCTTAGCGTACAGCCTCAGGGTGCTGGATTTGGGGTGAAACCCTCCATGCATGCAGTTGTTTCTATTGTTTCCTTTGGCTAGCTTATTATCCTAGCAGGGTACCTGATCATGCGTAGGTGTTGATAGCCCGTATATTGTTCTTAACGTTCACCTGACTCCTCAGGACTTGCCTGACCCTCTGCAGGTACTTGTTGGTTGCAGCTTTCCTAGCAGCCTCTTCATGGTTCCCATTTGCCTGTGGGATCCCTAGGTAGTTGCAACTGTCCTCTATGTCTGCAATTTTGCCTTCTGGTAGTTCAATCCCCTCAGTTCTGACTACCTTCCCTCTCTTTGTTATCATCTGACTACACTTCTTCAGTCCGAACGACATTCCAATGTCATTGCTGTATATCCTTTTGGTGTGGATCAGTGAATTGATGTCTCATTCACTCTTGGCATACAGCTTGATGTCATCCATGTACAGGAGGTGGCTGACAACTGCTCCGTTCCGTAGTCAGTATCCGTAGCCAGTCTTGTTAATGATCTCACTGAGGGGGTTCAGGCCTATGCAGAACAGCAGTGGGGACAGAGCATCTCCTTGGTAGATCCAACGCTTGATGGTGAGTTGTACTATGGGCTTCAAGTTGGCCTCTAATGTTGTCCGCCACATTCCCATTGAGTTCCTGATGAAGGCTCTTAAGGTCCTGTTGATCTTGTATAGGTCTAGGCATTACAGGATCCAGGTATGGAGCATTGAGTCATAGGCCTTCTTGTAATCAAATCATGCAGTTCACAGGTTGGTCAGCCTGGTCTTGCAGTCTCGTTTGATTGCTCGGTCTACCAGTAGCTGGTGTTTTGCACGTCTGGTATTCTTGCCAATCCCTTTCTGTGCTCCACTCATGTATTGACCCATCTGCATGTTCATCTTAGCAACTATGATGCCTGACAGGAACTTCCAAATGGTACTGAGGCAGGTTATTGATCAGGCCTTCGGTTAGCAATTCAGGGTGTCTCTCTTAAACTCGTATTTGTGATGCCAGCCGCTCGTGGAGTGCAGTCAGCTTCTTCAGCCAGTAGGCATGAACCATGTTGGGGCCTGGTGCTGTCCAACACTTCATACTAGAGACCCTTTCTTGGATGTCTGCCACTGTGATGGTTACTGGACCCTGTTCAGGGAGGCTGCTGTGGTCTACCCTCAGATCCGCTAGCCACTGAGCGTTGTCATTATGGGTTGCGTCCTTCTTCCATATGCTCTTCCAGTATTGTTCTGTCTCCGGCCTTGGTGGTGCTGTTCTCATATTATTCGCCTGCCACTGAGAGTATACATTAGCTGGTTCCATGGAGAACAGCTGGTTTATTCTCCTGCCTTCTCTCTCTCTGGTGTACCTCTTCAAGCGGCTGGCCAAGGTTATGAGTCATTGCTTGACAGTTTCCAAAGCCTCAGGTATGGACAGCTTGCTGTACTTCTTAGGCACGTTCTTTGATGCACCTTTCTGCAGCTCTGATAGTTGGCTAACCTCCCTCCATGCCACCTTGAGCTTAGTCTCCAGTCTCCTTCTCCATGGAGTGTACTGCTTTGTGGATGATGATATATTCTCACACTGATCCTGCATGGTAATGGTACCATCCACCCACTCCTCCTGGATTCACATCTTCATCATCATCTTTATCAACCCTCACAATATTACACCTTTATCCGCTTCATGTTCAGGAGCCTAATTTTCTCCATGGGTTATGGTGGGATGTTGAGTGCTGAAGTCAAACAGATCTCAGAAATTAAAGACTGATTCATTTATATTTTATACTTATGAGAAGCAGCTAGCTCATCCATTATTGTCCTTATAGGCTTGGGCTATTCATAGATTTGTTATGATACTCTGAGCATTTCTTCTGTTTTCACTCCTGATGCTTTTATACACATATCCTTAACTTTTGTCCTCTCTTTCCTCAGTTTGTCTTTTGTTCTTTTCTCTTCGTGCACATCCCCCTGAGCCAACCTCCCACCCAAACAGCCATGTTAAATGGCTAGTCTTGATCCCCAATGCTACAAAGTGCTCCTCATACTGATGGTCTTATTGATGAGGCTTTCTTGCTTATATTTCATAGCAAGTTACATTGTACAGTAAGTTAACTTATGCTGCCAAATTAGTTTTTCTTTTTAGTTATAAGTAAAGTTAAATTAAATCAAACAGATGGTTAGATGTTATTGTTTCTAACAAACAGAAAGTCATTGGTTACAGATGGATTGTTGTTTTGTGTGTCTGCAGTCTGTCAGGCTGTCTGATCACAGAGGAAGGCTGTACTTCTCTGGCCTCAGCTCTGAGCTCCAACCCCTCCCATCTGAGAGAGTTGGACCTGAGCTACAATGATCCAGGATTTTCAGGAATGAAGCTGCTGTTGGCTGGACTGAAGGATCCACGCTGGAGACTGGACACTCTCAGGTATGGAGAGAGAATGTCTGTTAGAGAAGGAAGAGCTGGATACATTTCAAGTGCAAAGGAGGGGATTAGGGATTAGGGATTCACCATCTTAGAAAGCTGTGATTGCAGCCATTCCCCAACTCTCTGGGAATAGTACTCATGGCCATTGATCACTGATCAATGGTCTTTGATCACTGGTGGTTGATCAATAGTCATGAGAATTTGCATAATGTTGATAATGGAACTGACCTTATAGCCCATTGTTCATTCAATGGTGCTAGTTTCAGTCATTGTGCAAATATACTGTTTATATAAGTTTGGGGAAACCTGCAGTTACTGAAGAAGTTACTTGACTGAGTGACAAAATTTTTCTCCCACTAACAACACTACGTTCAGATGTAAAGAATCAACGTTTTGGGATTTCCTACATTCTTCATTCACTTCCTGTTTGTTTCATGCAGATGTAACATGAACAATCACACATGTAGGAACAGTTTTCCTTCATTCACAGCATAAACTGTAGTCTAGTTCAACAATGAAGAGATAAATATGTAGCAATTTCCAAGGAGAACTTTTCCAGGAACAATAATAAATGTCTTTTGCTCATAATATTTGGATCCATTTGGATAGATTGCTTTATGTTTAACAATGCACTGCTAAATTATTTTTCTCTGTCTCACCCTGATTTATATCAAATTAATCTCTGCATAAAAATGTACTAAAGACACATTCACAGTAGCTTAGCACATAGACGGGAAACTGTTACCCTAGTTTGATCAAAAGAGGTAAAATAGATCATAGATCATAACATAGATCATAGAGGATGCACACGTGTATACTCCACTATATCTGTTTAACTTTTGGTGTAAATAGTCATGGCCAAATCTGGAATATACAAACCTTGAAGGAAATATGGTAACAATTTAAAGAACTTGTCCCTTTATATATAGATTTGTTTATATGACTTTCTGACTTTCCCTATTTATGTGTGGTTTAAAAAGTACATTGGTACAGTGTTGTAACTTTATAAAAAAAAAGAATATGCGAGCCAATGACTGCACACTTTGTAATATTGACAGGACAAACATTTATTAGCACAGGAAAGCATAATCACAAAGGGAAACTTAATAAATGGAACCTCTCCCTGTCAAAATGTCTTGCAGAGGGAAGGGGAGCTGGCTTGTGACTTCTCATTATATCTTTCTCCTCCTCTTTTTCATATGCCTCCTCCACCACTGCTCTCTCCTGCTACATCTCCACTTTATCTTCTTCCTGCTCACATCCAGCCTCATTTAGCGTATCTAGGCTGTCATTGTGTAATGC